AACCCGATTTTGCTCTGGCAAAACGATAAATGTTTACGATTTTTTCATTTGTTGATTGACCGATGAGCCTTTGCTCTTTTCCAATATTTTGCTCAATTAGGTCAATTTGTGATCGTAGTTGGTCGACTCCGATCCAAGTAAATTTCAGTTTTTCGTCTTTGTTGGTGATCAATTCCAGCATAAACTTTTGCAGTTCAGTGAATTCATTCAATGTAAGTATCAAATGAGTCGCAACCCACTGACTTCTTTCTGCAGTTTCGGTGTTTCTTGTCAACATATCTAAGTTTTCATACATTTCGTTTGTTTGATTGATCAGTAGTCCCATTTCTAATTGAAATTTCTCTTGCGTTTTTCGCATTACTTCTTCTGCTAAGATCATCACTGATGTTTGTTCTTTTAATAGCTGTTCGAGATGCTCCATTTTTCCCGCTTCATCATCTTTAAAAAAATAGTTACCGATTTTATTTGTCGCCCAGCCAACTGCAGTACCCAATCCAAGCGCAAATAAGATTGATGTTGGTTCTCTTTTTCTGCGTTTTTCGATGTTAATGAGACTGTCATATTTTTTGATTTTATTCATTTTTCTGTTGATTTCAATGGCGATTGATTCGCATGCGATTGATGCTCGTTTGGTTCTTCTTAGATTGCATAGGTGTTCTAGCTCGTAGACATTTTCTTGCAATGCTTCAATATTGTTCCGATACATTCTTGTGTTCATTATCGATACAATATGCCATTTATTGTGCGCCATTTGAATTTCGCCACCTTTTTCAAAGTATAGACCATTTTCAGAACTAATTTTTTCTATTGAAAACTGATTTGATCCATAGCTTGGTGAAATTAAACCGAGAATCAACAGGAATGAGATTATGTAGGTCATGAATTTTGACTTTTTTGACTTTCTGCTTACCATTTTTTCTTCTAATTCATAATGGTATTGTATAAAAAATGAGCCGATAATACCCTCTTCTTTTTCTTCTTCTTTTTCCTTTGTTTCGGCCTTACTATTATCATCGTTCTTTTCTTCGTCGATTGGTAGTTTTGACAATCGACCAATGGCTCGTTTGTAGCATTTTGTTCCAGTAGTTACTTCTACTACTCTTACTAAATCATCCTTTCCGGGAAAAATTTTAGTGACTTTTGCTAACGGCCATCGCAAAGGGGGATTTATTTCATCTTTGATAATCACTAAGTCGCCTATTTTGATATTTGTTTGTCGTTCCTGCCACTTCGTGCGCTTTTGAAGGCTTGAAATATATTCATCACTCCATCGTTTCCAGAATTCTTGCTTTAATCTTTCACATAATTGCCATCTATTCAACCGGTGTTCATTGATATCCAACAAACTTGGGCCTACGGGTGCTGTTAGCGCACTACCGATCAAAAAGTGACCAGGTGTAAGTATTGTCATGTCATCTGGATTCTCATTCATGGCACATAATGGTCTTGAATTGAAACAAGCTTCTATTTGAGTTAAGACTGTTGTCATTTCTTCATATGACAAAATGCGATCTCCCACAACTCGTTTAAAATGATGTTTTATTGAACCTATATTTCGTTCCCATAAGCCACCAAACCATGGTGCCGCAGGTGGATTAAAATAAAATTTTGTTGATAAATTTGCCAATTCACGTTTAATTTCCTCATTGAATTCAGAAATCGCTTGTGATGTTTCTAATTCGAATATCGTTTTAGCTTTCACAAAATTTCCGCCATTATCACTGTATAGTTTGGCAATATTTCCTCTTCGAGATATAAATCTTCTGAATGCTGCTACAAAGGCCGCAGCGTTTAAGTCAGATACAGCTTCTAAATGAACTGCTCTTGTTGAAAAACATATGAAAATTGCTACATAGCCTTTGGTAGTTTTTAATCTGCCGTTGTTAGACATTTGCATCATGAATGGTCCACGAAAATCGGTTCCCGAAATCGTGAATGGTTTTACCATTGCTTTTGTTCGATCAGTTGGTAAACTGCCCATCAACTGGGTGGCTGAATGTGCTCTAAACCTGTGGCACTTAACACATTTGTTGATATGTGCCTTTACAGCTCTTTTACAGCCTATTATCCAGAATTCGTGTCTAATCTGCATCATTGTGAGCTGATTTCCTCCGTGTAACACCTGTCTATGAGCTGCATCAATGACTAATCGTGTGAATGGACTTTTATATGGAAGAATAATCGGGTGTTTTTTATTGAAGTCAAATTCTGAATTTTGTAGTCTGCCACCGACTCGAAGTATTCCCTCGTTGTCAAGAAATGGAAATAACGATTTTAATTTACTCGAACGGCTTGTTTCATTGTTCTTCTTTAAGTTTTCTATGTCGTCTTC